AGAGAGAGAGAGAGAGAGAGAGAGAGAGAGAGAGAGAGAATGAAAATGCTCTGATTGGCCCAAACTAGAAAGTTCAAGAGTAGACTCATAGGTGTAGTTGTATTCAGGGATTGAGTTACGTTTTCAGAATGTGATCTGGCCTTGTCTCAATTCTTTCTCTCTGTGTGCTGTCTTGATTGATGAATGGGTGTTGACTGTCTGCTGGTCTGAGCAGATCCAGGCTTCCCTCATCCAGTGGGAAAAGGTGTTTCTCACCTCATCAGCCTGCCTACGGCTTGTCCATCCCTGACTCATCACATTGGCGGAGAGGAAGGGGTTGAGAGAGGCAGATGGACCATGTTGACTGGTGAGGTTGGATAATGAGCTGACTCGTTATCACAGCAATCAGCATGTAACTATCTTTGGAAGGAGAGTGCTGATGGGGATACAGCAGGCAGTGCAGAAAGTAGCGGTAGTATATTCTAACACGACAGATCTGTTCTCTGTGGTAACATCTGGATTTTGCTTGCAGGTACAGTCCCTGCAAGCCACATTTGGGACTTTCGAGTCCATCCTGAGAAGCTCTCAGCATAAACAGGACCTCACGGAGAAGGCGGTGAAGCAAGGGGAGAGTGAGATCAACCGGATCAGCGAAGTTCTGCAGAAGCTGCAGAATGAGATCCTCAAAGACCTGTCGGATGGGATCCATGTGGTAAAGGATGCCCGAGAGCGGGACTTCACATCCTTGGAGAACACGGTCGAGGAGCGCCTGACGGAGCTCACCAAGTCCATCAATGACAACATTGCCATCTTCACCGATGTACAGAAGAGGAGCCAGAAGGAAATAAATGATGTCAAGATGAAGGTTGCCTCCCTGGAAGAGTCCAAGGGTGATCGCAGTCAGGACCTGAAAGTTCTGGAGAAAGGCCTGAAGGAGGTACAGGCCTCTTTGAAGTCCAGGGAGAGGGACATCGAGGCCCTGCAGAGTTCCCTTCAGACCATGGAGTCCGATGTCTACACAGAGGTCCGGGAGCTAGTGAGCCTCAAGCAGGAGCAACAGGCATTCAAGCAGGCGGCAGACTCAGAGCGCCTGGCTTTGGAGGCCCTCACAGAGAAGCTTCTGCAGTCTGAGGAGTCCTCCTCTCGCCTCCCGGCAGACATCAGGAGACTGGAAGAGGAGCTGCAGCAGCTGAAGGCTCAGGCCCATGGAGCAGAGGAGGCCGTTGTCTTCAAAGACTCCAAAGCCTTAGATGAACTCCAGAGGCAGATTGAGGGCCTAGGTGCCAGGCTGCAGTACGTAGAGGACGGAGTCTACTCTATGCAGGTAGCTTCTGCACGCCACACTGAGAGTCTGGAATCGCTCCTGTCCAAGAGCCAGGAGTATGAGCAACGCCTGGCTGTGCTGCAGGAACACCTGGAAACCCTGGGGCCCTCCTCTGATCTGGCCAGCACAGTGAAGAGCCTGGAGGAGGCCCAGCTGATGCTGACCAGCAACGTGAAGGAGCTACAGCAGAGCCTGGGTGAGCTCCCCAACACTGTGGAGTCTCTGCAAGAACAGGTGCACTCACTGCTCAGCCAGGACCATGCCCAGGCCATGCCTCCTCAGGACTTTCTGGACAGGCTCTCCTCTCTAGATAACTTGAAGTCCTCAGTGAGCCAAGTGGAGTCAGACTTGAAAATGCTCAGGACTGCGGTGGACAGTTTGGTTGCCTACTCCGTCAAAATCGAGACAAATGAAAACAACCTGGAGTCAGCCAAGGGCTTGCTGGATGACCTGAGGAATGATCTCGACAGGTTGTTTGTGAAAGTTGAAAAGATTCATGAAAAGATCTAAATGAACTGCTTGTGCAGGGCACAGATTTATAGTCCAGTTTCTTATGACCAAAAAAAACAAAAACAAACAAAAAAAAAACAAAAACAAAAGGAAAAAACCCATCATTTCCTCCTGGGTGCCCTCGCACCAGTTTCTTGCCCCCTCCCCCCACTGGAAAGCACTAGACACCATCTCAGCACAGTTGAGTGGTGTTCTGTGCCCGGTTAATTTATTTGCGATTGTTACCACACATCTTTGGTTTCTGAAATCCTTGCAATTGTTACCACACATCTTTGGTTTCTGAAATCCTGTTTCTGCTTTTGGTTTGGCTTCCTGAAGGCCCAGCCCTGTTCAGAAGAGGTGGCTTTTTGAAGGGATGTGTCTACTGTTAGGAAGAGGGCAATGGCCTTAACTGGGGATTAACAGGGAGCAGATTAACCTAAAAAAGAAAACAGAAATCCTGTCTGGCTGACAGATTTATAGTAAAAACAACAACAAAAATGGGGAGGGAGGGGAGCTTTTCTTTTTCATTGTCTTTAAGGAAAATTAATTTTACTTTTTTTTCTACTCTTGGCCAGAGTTTCTGTGTCTTACTTGTCTTCCACTTAGAACTGGTAAAGAAAGGCTCATAGATGAGAGCTCTGAATGGGTGGAGGAGAAGGCCCCCAAGCCTCTTCTTGAGGGTCCCTTTCTGTTGCAGTTGAGTGATATCAAAGGTAACTATGCAAACTCAGCAGGTTCTGAATGTGAAGACAGCACCCCGACGCCCCATGCCTTTCTGTTCTGGTGAGCCACCTGTGTTACCACATTAGGAGGGGGTCACCAAGTAAGTTTGAAATCCTAGGGGGAGACCTTGCTGTTGTGATGTCAGAGCTGTACTGTCCATAAAGGATTTGGACATCTCCCTGGGAGATGTAGGCCAGATCTTTTTATTTTATCACAGTATTCCTGAAGAGGTCTCCTGTCGCCTGGCCCCATCTGTCAGTGACGATCACTCGTGCTGCATTTCTGTAATTGTTCTTCCTGTATCCTTGCCCTTTGAGCAGTGTTGTCTTTAATGGCTGCCTTGTCCTTCCCACCCACCCCACTCCACCCCCCCCCCAAGAAAAAAGGAAAGAAAAATTTTAAAAAAGAAAATGCTGAAAAGAAAAACAAGGTTTGTTAATTTACTGTGAAATGAACTGTATGGCTTATTTACAGTATTTTTAATTCTTAATAAACACTTGAGCTTTGTTATGACTTTTTCAGGGGTGCTGGATTGTGACTGAGAATTTAGTAATGATGATGTATTCGGGATTAGAAAATTGATGGGTTTTCCAGTGTGTGTCATAGCACATGTGTGGATGTCGGGCCTCAAGATGCCCGGCTCTGCTGCCCCAGGTCTGTTTTTTGCTCTCTTAGCAGGTTGGTTCCTCCCATCGCTTACCATCTTAACATGGCACCTGTTAGGCTCTTCCTCAGGGGTGTGGATGAGGTCTTTGAATGACTCCCTAGCGGGTTCTAGCGTGTAGTCGGTGTGAACCACTGTCTTGGAGGCATCTAGGATGGCTAAGGCACACCTGAGCATTCCTATGCATCCTGGGCTCCCACTCACCACCTAATAAAATAGATGTTATTCTGTACCGGTGTGCAGGCATGAGTAGAACTCTGTGAAAGTACCAGTCCCTCTTTGACATGGGCAGCAGGCTGAGAAGCATGCATTAGGGCATGCATTATAAGTCATGAGATAAGATTTGAATCCATTTTCTGCTCTTACTGTGTCCTCCTCCTCTGCCATTGGGTCTCCACTGGCCTGCTGCAGAGCCTGAGGAAGCAGGCAGGTCTCTCCAACTCATGGAATAGAGGGAGTCAGGACACTGGTACACGTGTGGTTTATACCCTCGTTTCTAGCTGGCTGTTCGTTCGTTGAACATTTATTGGGCCCACAGTCAGACATGTTGCTAAACATCAGTGAAGTAAAGACCTGGGATATGGTAGTGATTCTAGGTCCTATAGCCCAGTTGACACAATTACATAAACTGGTGTCATATAGAACTGTAAATGCTACACCTAGAAATAAGGGTGGTGGCAAAGGTGTAGTGACCAGTTCTTCCAGGATTGTACTAGAGGTGGTTAGAAGAGGTTTATAAAGGCCAGAAGAGGAGAGGAGGGGGTCTTGACGAAGTGTCAGGTTGTTTCATTTGAATAAGAATAGCTGTGGGATGCTGAAGATGTGGGTTAAATTGCAGGTCCAGCAGTAGTAGAGACTTCAGTGAAATGTAGGCAGGATGGTCAGTTGGCGAGGACACTGTCCACCTGCAGATGGTGATGGAGATGCTGATGGTGGATCTCTCATGTGGTGGTTGTGAGGGTTGAGTGAGGCACACAGGGTCAGCTTAGTTTGGTATCTGGCACATAGAACTCCAGAGCCCGTGCACATGCAACCAAACCAGAAGCCAGAGGATTGAAATAAGCTGGGCATAGTGGCACACAACTATAAAGCCCAACACTTTGGGGACCAAGAGAGGAGGTGCATCAGTTTAAGCTTGTCTGGCTACAGAGTGAGACCCTGGAGGTGGGGATTGGGAAAGTAACATTTAAACACTCCTAGGCATGTGCATGCATGTATATGTGTGATTTAAACAGATAACTGTGTAAGGAGGTCCTTCTATGAAGTCCAGTGTTGACAGCTGTGCAGGGATACAAGTTGGCAGGAGAGAGATGCTGGGTTTGGAGTGGCCAAGAGAGTAGAGAAGTTTAGAGCAGTTCTCAGGGCAGGAAAAGAGGGAGTCACAGTGGGCATCACTCAGGACCACTCTTGCCTTGCCTTTCTCCTATCCTGCTATTAGGGGCACAGTGCAGTGGGGCTGAGGCTGAAGATTCTGCCTGGAACCAAGTCCCTTATGTGACTCTGAGTCTTAGAATATGGGAAACCAACAAAAGATATTAGGCAGGGTGAGGCATTACCATACTGAACTGTAAGCCACACCCTGCCCGTCTTGCAGGATTGGAGGAGAGCCAGGTAAAAGCAGGAAGACACGGGAGACCCAGTGAAGTATGCTTGCTCCGTCTCCTGAAGGTTCGGACAAAGGGTCTGGAGGAGAGTTGCTGCAGTGAGGTCCCGGAGCCAAGTCAAGGTACATGCTAAATGAATAGGTTGGGGTGGGGCAAGGGTGAGGATGGGCAGGATATCCCTGGCAAGGATGTAAGGGACAGCTAGCATCTGTGTTACACACACAGGAGACTTCCAGTCTAGAACTCAGTTGAGAGAGATTTTTTTCTGTTTTCTGAGTGACTCACCATATTTACTGTTAAATTAAGGAAACAAATTGTCAGAGACTGAAGAAAATGTGAAGGGAAGGAAAGCACAGAAGGATGCTCAGAAAGGTGACAGGGCCATACTAACGGTAAGGAGACCCGAAGACACCAGCGGGGTCACAAGCAGTGCAGTCTCAGTCATCAAACATCTTTCAGGGAACAATTTGTATAACATTTCCCTCATCAATTTGCTAATTTGATCTGTTTCCTGACTGTGCTGTAACTCACATAGGAGTACTGCATGGGTAAAGCCCCTTGAGACACAGACAATGTGCTCTCCCTGGTGACTTTCCATTCTGGAGTGGCAACCTAGGAGACTGATGTCTTGGGAGAGCTTTGCAGACTTTATCTCTGTGGTGTGCTTCTTCCTAAAACATCACCTGCTGTGACTACATCAGCCTCCAGGAGTGCCTCAGTTTGCCTCAGCTGCCCGGTATCTTCTTCAGATGTCTGGATCTCGTCCTGCTGCCACTCACAGTGTGACAGTGATGCCAGGCAAGTCTATCTTTTATTTTCTCTGGGTCCCGATTGTTATTCTTTTGTTTAAAAAGAAGAAAAGAGAAGTGTTGCTGAGACATGAGACATAAGACATATAAGTTTATTATAAGGCAGAGTAGGGAGACTAAGAAGAGGAAAAGAACAGGGTAAGTGGCTGACCGCCATGGCCGGTCGCCGCAGAGAGTCTTCATTAGCATAACATAATACAGTTTAGACCACTGGCTCTCACATTCTAAGGTGAATCGGCATCACCAGGAAACCAAGCTAACACACACATTCCACAGCTGGAGAGATAGCTCAGTTGTTACCAGGAAACCAATACGTATTGTATGGCTGGAGAGATGGCTTGGTCAGTAAACTGCTTGCTGCCCATCCTTGAGGACACAGATTTGGATCCCCAGCACCCATATGAAAAAGTTGGGCATAGGGAAACTCCCAGAAGCCCACAAAGATGACACCAGCTAAGATACCGAACAATAGAAGAGAGGGTACCTGAACTGGCCTCCTCCTGTAATCAAATTGGTGACTACTCTAATTGTCATCCCAGAGCATTCATCCAGTAACTGAGGGAAGCAGATGCAGAGATCCACAGCCAAGCACTGGGCTGAGCTTTGGGAGTCCTGTTGAAGAGAGGGAAGAGGGATTATACATGCCAGGGGAGTCATGGTAAATGATGGGAGAACTCACAGAGAAAGCTGACCTGAGTTCATGGGAGCTCATTGACTCTGAACTTAGGGAGCACATGGGACCAACCTAGGTCCTCTGCATGTATGTGACAGTTGTGTTGTCTATCTCTTGGTGGGGCTCCTAGCAGTGGGATCAGGACCTGTCCCTGGTGTTTGAGCTGGCTTTTGGGAACCCATTCTCTATGCTGGATTGCCTTGCCCAACCTTGATGCAGGGGGAGGAGCTTGGACTTGCCTCAACTTGATGTGCCATGCTTTGTTGACTCCCATGGGAGGCCCGCCCCTTTCTGAATGGACAGAGAAGGGGAGCAGATGGAGGTGGTAGATGGGAGGTGGGAGGAGAGAATGGGAGGAAAGGAGTGAGGGTAAACTTTAAAAAAAAAAAAAAAAAGCCTGTACCTGTAACCCCAGTGCTGTGGAGGCAGAGTTAGGAAGATCCTTGAGGCTCACTGGCCAGCCAGATCCTGTCTCAAAAAATAAGGTGACAGCAATTGAGGAGGACACCTGGCATCAACTTGTAGCCTCTTATATGTATGTGTGCACATGCACCTGTTCATAACATGCCCACACATGTACACACACACACACACACACACACACACACACACACACACACACACACACACATATATTTGTGCCATTTGCTGTCTGCATAGTATTACTTCCCAAATCTCTTTGCCAGCCCAGACATCTAAGATACTGATTTTGCTTTCTACAAATACCTAGAGGACTCTCTCCATCCATCTCACTTGGTTTCAGACCCAAGTTCTCATCCCCAACCTATAAATGGGGAACCAAGGCTGCCCTCTTGCTGAATGGCACCCTCCAATTCTGGTAGGCCTGTTTTTCATCTATCTGTAGAGAAGTCACCACGCTTAGTACCAGGAGTAATATCAAGATGTAAGGCCTGGCAGTGATGTGCACACCTTTAATCTCAGCACTCAGGAGGTAGAGGCAGGCAGATCTCTGTGAGTTCAAGGCCAGCCTGGTCTACAAAGCAGTTGCAGGACTGCTGGGGCTGTTATACAGAGAAACCCTTGAAAAGGGGTGTCTTGAAAAGTCACACACACACACATACACACCCCTTTATTTAGATCTCTCTCTCTCTCTCTCTCTCTCTCTCTCTTTCTCTCTCCCTCTCTCTCTTTCTTGTGAGTCTGTGTGTGCATGCCACATGTTCAGATGCCTTCAGGGGCCAGAGGGTGTCAGATTCCCTGGATCTGGAGTTGTGTGTGGTTGTGGGCTGTCCAGTGTGGGTGCTGGAAACTGAACTCAGGTTCCCTGCAAGAGCAGCAAGTGCTCTTAACCCGAGTCAGCTCTCTAGCCTGTAATTATCCCCATGATTCTTTTTGTATACGAGGAAAATTTCTCAATTAAAGGGTTTGTGTGAGGGGGGAGGGGTAAGGAATTTTACTGCTGGTCTTGAACTATCAGTAATCCTGCTTCAGACTAATACTAAGATTACAGATGTATGGCAAGACAATTGGCCCTATAGTTAATTTTTAAGGGGAAAAAACAAATATAGAAAATCACACTTTTAATATTTACAGTATATAGATCAGAGAACCTATGATGACCTACTTACACCAATCCCATGCGGTGCTGGAATCACTTCAAATAATTGTGATAGGTACAGACTGTGCAACAAACAGGACTTGCACAGTTAAGATTAAAGAGGCTCTAATGTAACCCCCCCTTTGTCCCCAGGTTGGGGTGGGGACAGCTTCAGACAGAGGAAGTTGTTCACCCAAGCTGCCAAACC